TTTTTCTTTTTTGGGTGTTCATGATGTTGGTCACCAAAGTGATGTCTTCTAAAGTTCTAGGAATGACATCTCTATCCATATTGATAAGTGCTCTGTAGATAATTTCCCAAATTACTTTGCTTAGTGAGCATTTAAGAGCAAAATGTTCTATTATTTGAGTAATGTAAGAACAATTAGAACAATCTCCTAAATTGGTTTGGTCAATATGAACAAGTCTATACCCAAGAGGTAGGGCTCTATGAGTTAGTCTCCAGAATATGTCTTTCTTTTTATTCAGTAGCTATTTTGTTTTTATCTATTCCTGTGATAAGAAGTCCTTTTTTGAGGAGTCGGTAGTTATTGTATTTGGAGAATTGTGATTCTTTTTTAAGACTTCTTTTACTGTAAATTGATTACCTTTAATGTTATTTATCTCAATTTGTTCCAGTGACTAGGGCCACTTGTGGTTAGTTAAGATTTTTCCTTTAAATCTTCCTCATGCTGTAATATAAGGTTTCCAACTATCTGGCCAACCTCTGGTTCTGCAGGGATTTTGTAACAAAGCTGTAGCAGTAGAGATCTTTCTCTTATTGTAGAGCTTTGTATCGATATTTTCTCTTTCTATAGTAGCCTAAAAGGTAAGGTGTTACTAGTTAGAAGTTTGAGCAGTATTATGAGAAGTCTGGCATCTAGCATATCTTTGAGAATAGAAGCTGCCAGTCCTCCTTGTTCATAGTTGCGCTGAAATACTGAGTACTGTGAAAGCATTTGTGAATTGTTTTTGATCCATTTTTTAATGAGAGAGTCAATTTCATTAAGTTGTTTTCTTGTTGGAGGAAGGAGATAAGCCGAGTACCAGATTTTTGAAATGAGTAACATTTTGGTTGCAAGAATCTTTCCTTTAAAAGAGAGATTTCTCTGAGACAAGTCCTGGATCTTATCTTTAATTTTTTTGATCGTGTTGCTCCAAAGGACCTTATCTGAGTTTCCTCTGGTATCAACTGTAAAGGCTAAAATCGTGATATTAGATTGTGTATCTAATAACAGATTAAATTTGGCTTGATCTGGCAGTTCCACTCTGCTGGCATTTGCCGTAAGAGGAATGAGAGTCGATTTGGATTTGTTAACTAGTGCATTAGAAGCATACTCATATAGTAAT